ACACACACACCCACGAACACCCACACACATGCACACTCGTGGCTTGACTTTGTGTGTATATGTTTGTGTATACACATTCACACTTAATGAATGTGCGTGTGTACCTATGTCAAGGTATGTGTGTGGAGGTCAGTGGGCAGCCTCAGGGGCCAATCCTTGCCTTCAACCTTGTCTGATACAGAATATCATTGTTTTTCCCTGTATATGCCGGGCTAGCTGGCCAGCAAGCCTCCTTGATATTTTCTCTCTTCCCCCTCATCTCCCCATAGGAACACTAGATTACAGATGCTCACACACTATGCATCTGGCATTTACACATGGGTTCTGGGGATTCAAACTCAGATCCTCTCGGTTTGCATGGCAAGTGATTTTACTCACTAAGCCATCTTCCCAGCCCCTTAAAAAACAAACAAACAAACCATAAGTCTGGGCATTAAACTCAAATCCTCTCATTTTCAAGACAAGCACTTACCAACTGAACTGACTCCCTGGCCCCCAGAGTCTTCATCTTTAAGCCATATACAATTTATTGACCTGTCACAGGAAGCCAGAAGTACCTCCGGAGGCACCACAAAAGCTTGACTCTGTCTTGCCTCTGCCCAACTCACAGGTGACCCTGAGCAGGTCCTTCCTGTTCTTGTGCCCATGAACATGGTGGCTGCTGGTCTAGATTTTTGGCTCTGATGACATGAACTTGTGGTTACAGGAAGAGGAAGACCTGAAGGGCTCCCTGCCCCTCACCACCTCTTTCTAGCCCTCAGAAGGTCCTGGGGGTCTACTAGGCCCCCCAATTCACATATCCTATCTTCTCTACAGGTTTCACGGGGAAGCCTGTCTGTATGGTCAGGGACAAGTTCTCTTTGGCACCTTTGACTCAATCTGCACTCTTATCCAGCTGTCTGATGGGGATGCCTACCATCTCTGCCCCTATTGGGGACCCACAGTCCAATCGGAACCCTCAGCTTCCTTCTGGTGGGTATTTTGGCTACACCTGTCTACCTGGGGCCTCATAATTCTCCCAAAGTGTGTAGCTGGGCAGGGGCTTTGAGAAGGAAAAGGTCATTGCTCTTCAATTGGGGTTCCCCCTTTCCTGGGCCAATTTCATTTGTTATTCCCCAGGCTCTAACCCTCAAAAAGCGCATCTGCTTGGATTTGAGGTATTTGAGGAGTAACAAAAAGCTGATTTTGGATATAGTCATGTGACTTGGAGCTAGAGATGAAGTGACACTTGTAATATTTAGTGACATGTACACTCAGGCAGTAGTTTATCAGGACCTCCAGCTACAGTGTTGGAAGGACTTTGGAGGCCAAGCCATACTTTTCTGCTGGTAGGTGTGGGAAAGTCAGGAGGGTAGGGTGTGGTAGAAATCCTGTGGAGCAGGGGGACAGCCAGAACAGGGCAGAGACGTTTGAGGGCTGGCTGCAGAACACTCTACCTGTCTAGAGAGTGGTTCAATGTCTTAACAACAGGCATGGCATCTTTCCCGAATCTCAGTGTTGGCCCCAGGCATCTAAAAAGGGAAGAGAAGTCAGATCAAACCACTTACATTTAGACACAGAAGCCTGATGTCCTCCAACAGCCCCCAGAGAGGACTCAGGGAGACTGTCAACATTAGCAACCCTTGTTCCATGGCAGTTTTAATGCTTCTCCCTCCAGAGCAGAAAGGCTTGCAAAATTGGGGACAGGCACTTCTGCCTAGAACCTTTCCTCTCCATCCCAGTCCTGATGACACAGGGAGGGAAAACAGGGTCCCCCAAGACCTTGTCCTGACCTTTCAGACGCCTGGAAGAAGAATCTAAAGGACCTAGCTTCCCGAGTGGCTATCTTTACTAAGGAAATTGAGACAAGGACCAATGAGGTTGGTGCTGAACAAAGAAGTGAGCCTGGAAATAATGCCTTTGTGAGTCGCTTCCAAAGCTCTGCTGCTGGCATGGGAGGGGGCACTCCTGACGAAGGATGGTGACAGTGAAGGTGACTTCTGAGCAAAGGCCCCCTGGCCCAGTTGGGGACATCTTTAGAGAACAGAGGCTGGAGCACAGGGTAGAAGCAGGTGGTGACGGAGATGTGAGAGGAGGCAGATTTTGATTGGGGAGGAAGAATTTCTTCTTAACTTCCCCGCACAGGTTAGCATCCACTCTTATCAGGAGTGGAGAATCGTTGGAGGTTTTCAGACAGAGTGGGGATGATCTTACAGGTGCCCTTCAGGGACAAAGTAGTAAAGGCAGATGGTCTTGGGACAGACCTGGCCCTTTGTAATGGAGTGTTCTGAGTAACCCATCTGCAGAGGTGGGGACATGGCTTCTTGTCCCTGCTTGCAACTAACTCATTAGGGTGCTCAGGATAAATCAGCTAAGTGTCCAGGTCTTATTTGCTTTAAAATGTGCAGGAAAATGGCTGTGGCAATCACATCTCTAATCTCAGCATTAGGAAGACAGAGGCAGGAAGATGACTGCAAGTTTATGGCTAGCCTGCTTTACATAGCAAGTTCCAGGCCTGTCAGTGCTACTTACTGAGGTTTTGTCTCAAACCAAATAAAAACAAAGCAAAAACAAACAAACAAACAAACAAAAAAACAATGGGAGAAAGTACATGCTTTAGCTGGAATTACTCTGACAGGAGGCTCTAAGCCTGCCCTATACCCAGAGATTTCCCAGGGCAGGAAAAGGGTGTCCAGGGCTGGGAAGGCAGTTCATTCCAAAAGCACTTGCCAAAGAAAGAAAGAAAGACAAGCACTTACCTTAGGTGCATGGTGCAGCATGCACTTAACACCTCAGGAGGTAGAGGTACTTGAATCTGTAAGTCTGTGAGTTTGAGACCAGCCTGGTCTACACAGTGAGTTCTAACATAGTCGAGTCTATGTAGAGAGACCCCATCTCAAAAACAAAACACTTACCTTATAAGCATGAAGACCCAAGTTCAGTCCTCAAAACTCACTGTGTTACACTGTGAGGAACAGACCTCAGACATAGGAGCAGTAGAGCTAAGAATCAGAATTGACACAGGGGCACAGGACACTACCTCCCATACCTCTGATGTTTGGAAGAGGACCTGCCTCTGGGGGAGAACAAAGACCACCAGGGGCATCTTCATTCAACCCTGGGATGCTGAGTTAGGATGCAGGAGGAGCCAGGGCCAATGAAAGAGGACCTGGGACAGGGTGCAGATGGTTTGATAGCATCCTACACCCCTGCTGCCTGGCCTCTTCTTTATCTTTTCCCCCTGCCTTCTCCCACTCTCACCAGTTCCTATAGTCTCTTGTCACTTTCCTTCCAGCTGAAGGAAGAGCCTCCTCTGAGGGAACAGGGGGCAAAGTACTCAGCTGAGACGGGTAGGCTTATCCCAGCTTCCAGCCAGGCCCTCAGCCGCCGCCGCAACCACCAGGGCCAGCGGAGCCACTCTTCTGGCAAAGATGGAGGAGCCCAACCCTCCATTCTACAGGATCAGGAACTGCTGGTAAGTACCATTCTGGAGGCAGAGACTGCAATGGTCTCAGCCTCCAGGTTTCCAGGCTTTCCAGCCAGCACATTTCTGGCCTGCCTTAGGGTGGCTTCTCCAGAGGCACTGCCCCCTAAGACTGTAAGACCAGAAAGACCATGCCCCAGGAGTCCTCATCCTGGGCTCTGAGCTCCACTGCCTCTAGACAGCCTACCATCATCCTGACCCTCTCTGTGTAAGTCCTCCTCTCTCATGGGTCATTGGCTAAATTGGGAGCATGTGTATGTTAGCCCAGCATTACCACTGAGGCACCTTCCCAGTGTCAACATCCACTGTTCTCGAGAAAGCTGCAGGGAACTGAGAACCTAGGAGGGAAGGGCCTACCCCCAGAGCATTGTCAATTTACAGCCTGCAAGGCTAGCCCCACCACCACCACCACTGTGTGACAGTGGATGAGGGCATTGGCGAACCCTGTGAGAGTACATGAGTGCCCCCCAGAGCCAAAGTGTTGCCACCTCTCACTGAACAGCAGTGCTTTTGGGCTTAGCAACATGGGTAGATCAGACAGATCTCAGGATTCCCCACTCAACAGAAAAAGAGGTTTAGGTTCTTTGGGGTGATGTTCTGTGGCAAGGTCCCCCAACGGATGACCAGCATAGCCAGGCTAGAACTAGTACTTTCTCCACCATAGGGCGGCCTCACCGCACCTGGAGTTAGGTTCTCAGTTCTCGTAGGGAGGGAGCCCAGGGCAGGTAAGGAGGATGAGAATGGGGAAGGGCCAAAGGGCAGTTCAGGGTGGGAACTGCCAATTGGGTGCTGGGTGGGGGAGGCTAGGATGGGCTACAGGCCTGAGGGAGAAGCCCAAGCCAGTTCCTACTCCACCAAGGATAAGGTGGGCCTGCCAGGGTTTGATAGACCCTCCATGGCCTTGGGAAGGCTGCCTGGACAGTGCTAAGGGAACCCTACTTTCCTAGGATTCCCAAAGAACCAACTCCCATGGCGGGTCCCCCCTCCAGCCCTCCATAGCTACAGCTGCCACCTGCAACATGGCCTAGGAAGTCCCCAGAGCACATCCAGGACACAGCTGGACCATACACAGCGGCTACTTGACTGGAGGAGAAAGGGGAAGCCACTGGCTGAGGAGGCAGCTAGGAGCCAAGAGTCCCGGCTACTTTACTGGATGGAACCCCTCACTAGGCACTTGGCCAAAACAGCCCACTCTGGCCAGCAGGCTGCCTACAGCAAGTCCCCCACCTCCTGGCAAACATCTCCAGATTCTTTGAGCTCCTGGGTGGGGAGGCCCTTGGGGTACCCCAAATCACCACCCAAAAGATACCAGCATGTAGGACTCGGTGTGTCTCTGAGGAGGTGACTGGCCAGCTCTGATTTTGCTGTCTCAGTGAGGGGCCCAAGGTTCCAACCAGCCCAGTGGAGACTATGGGGCTGAGAGGTCTCATCTCTCCAATATCTGAGGCTTGATTCTGTTCTAACATCCCCACCTGATGCCTTCCTTGCTTGAGGCCTCATATTCTTTACCTGCCAGCAGGGATCCTAAGGACAATTGTGAGAAAAAGACCCCCTCCTCAAAGTGCTAGGTCACATGGAGGAACCTTTAGGGGGAACCACTTTAGCTGAGCATATGGCCCAAGGACCCCATGTCAAGGGGAGGAGGCTGCTGTTCCCTGGCTAGAGTATGACAGGGGCTACCCGTGACCATACCATGTCATCTTTCACACAGATTTTGGAGCTTCTTTGTCAGATTCTACAAACGGATTCTCTAAGTGCTATCCAGTTCTGGCTCCTCTATGCTCCACCAAAGGGTAAGGACACCATGGGTGGCCCTCCCTCTATATCAGGGACTGCCAAGACCTTGCCCTTGTTCCTGATCCTGCAGATGTCACTTGGCCTTCTCTCTTTTCTCTTTGGGAGTCCCAAAGGCTTCCCAGCATCAGTCTTCCCTCCTCCCCTACTTCTCAGCAGCGTTTTGGTGGCCCGGTTCCTTGGAGGGAACCCCATTTTTAGTGCTGACTTCAGGCATAGGTGTCTGGGAGTGGGGAAAGAGCCAAAGATAGTTCCTAGTAGACCCGGCCCCTCCCGGCCACTGCAGGAAACACAGGTGCAAACACCAGAACACATAGGCCTGTACACTGAGCCCGCAGATACACTTCTGCTTTGGAACAGTGAGGAAAGGAGAGAGGGGTGAATCCCCAGGGAAGGAGCTTAAAAGCTCATTGGAGGAAGGGATGGGAGAAAGGAGGCATGGGGGTAGGGGGGAGGTAAAACCCAGCAGACTTCCGAATGTGGTCCTGGAGTAGAGAGGGAGATGGGATTGGGTGGAAGGGGCCAAAACCAAAGTGCATATGGGTTTTTGTGGTAGGAGAGGGTGATATAGGGCTGAGGGCTCTGCACAGAGCTACAAGCATTGTGGGGACCCTCCTTGGGAGCAGAGAACCAATGAGGAAGTTTGTAGAATGATTAGAGGACACTGTCCTTCCCCAGGGTGGGGACTAGCTGGATGAGATAGGAAAGGAGTAGGGCTGAGGACCCTGCCCTATGCTGTTTTCAGAAAAAGACCTGGCATTGGGACTTCTGCAGACAGCGGTGGCTCAGCTCATCTCTCAGCCTTCCCCCTGTCTTCCAGCAGAGCAGCTCTTGAACCAACTCCAAGAGCTTCAAAAACCTCCTCAAGAGACACAACAGGCAACCTACAGGTGGGCTCAGGGCCCTTTACCTGTCCTCCTGTTCCCAGAACCACACCCTGGCCATCAGCATCCACCCTCTCTGGCTTAGTGACCCAACTGTAATTCCAGAACTGTAGCAGTGGGAAACAAAGGCAGGATCCTTGAGAAAAGCCAGACTAGATGGATCAGGGTGCTTTGGACGCAGTGCAGAGACTCTGCCTCAAGGAGCAGGATGGAGAACATCCATGCGGGCACAGAATCTCTGGTCCTCACATGCTCACACAGCAAGCGCCTTATGGCTTAGCCATCTCCCCAGCCAAACACTGAGGATTGGAAATTGCAAAATTGAGAGGCTGGGAAAAGCCCATCTCAGGAGGTGGGAGGTGCTCTGGCTCTGGCAGACTGCAGGGGCTAATTGTTGGGGTGCTGGGACATGGTTGAGAAAATGGCTTAGGCTTGGGGGAGGCATATTTTGGTGGGTGGTTATTTTGTGGATCAGGCTGGCTTGGAACCTACTTTGTATCTGAAGATGACCTTAAACTCAGCCCTCCTGCCTCTGCCTCCTAAGTGCTGGAATTACAGGTATGTGCCACCATATCTTTTTAAAAGAGTGCTGGGGATGGAACCCAAGGCTTCACACATGTCAGGCAAGCACTCTTACAACCTGAGCTATAACCTCAACCCTAGGGCATAGGTTCTCGCTCAGGCCCTAGAATTGATTTTCTTTTTCTATCTGAGAGAATAAAGGAAGATCATGGGCTGGGGATTCATTGGCAGACAGTTGGACAGGCCCTGGGTAGGCCCTGGGTTCAATTCTAGTGCTGCAACATAGTAAATATGTCAATAGAAGAAGAGCACGACGGGGAAGACTTACTGTGCTTGGACGAGAGAGACCCCCAAGTCGGCCTCTTCACCTCTCTCTAAAGCCTCTTACCAGAGTTGGAGGGAAAATGAAGTGGGTGTGTGAAGGCTAATAGTAGTTTACAGCTCACACAAGGTAGAGGAACATTAGTTGTTTGTCCAGAACCAGCTTGGCAGGCAAGGGAAAGGGTTAGGGTTAGGGTTAGGGCTATCCCAGATAAGGCGACCTTGGTTCCCCATGGCTGCAGCAGACACAGAATCACAGCTGTCTGGTTCCTGCTTTGGAGGTGCAGGAGGCTATCTGGGTCCATCTACGCACAGTCCTGCACCACCTCTTCAGGAGGGGTGTCTTGCCTCTTCTGGGAGCTGGTGCCACCTATGCCACCTCCCAACTCCCAGTCAACCTGCCATCTGTAGACTCAGCCCCCCAAGCCTGTCTTTTGTATTTGGTTATAGTCCATCCCTGAAGACGACAAAGACACTACCTTTATCCAAGACAGAAAAACCAGGTAAGAGCCCTCAAAGGGAGTTAATTATTCTGGAGGCACACTGGAGGCCAGCTTTGGATGGATTCCTGCCCAAGGAAATTGGGTCACTTCTTCAGGCAGCAAACCTTTATTGTGTATTTACTATGTGCCAGGTTCTGGGGAGTTACGAGGGAAGAACTGGGACAAGTTCCTATGTCATTGGGGCTGACATCTTAGAGAGGGAGTGTGCAAAGGGAAGAACCTCCAGGAGGACAGCAGGTTAATTGGGGAGGAGGCTCCCTATGCTTAATGGACCACAAAAGCGTCCATTTGGGAATGCCCAGGGAGAGCCTTCTGGTAGAGCTCGCTCCTGCCCTGTATACTGATGGAAGAACAAGCTGGCCAGGGTATCTGAGCCATCTTGGGGCGGGGGCAGCAGTAAGAGGTAAGACAAGACAGAGCCAGCCTTTTGAAGAGCATAGGACACTCTGGAGGTTATGAGCAGGATGTAGTATGTCCCCATGGTCACTGTGCAAGGCATGGATAGGGGTGGTGATGACAAGATTGGACAAGAGAGCCCAGAGAGGATGCCCTTGCAATGGACATAGTATCTTAGACCAGAGAGTGTAGGGGCAGGGTGGCAGCTGGAGGGGAGAGAATGCTTGTCAACAGTGGACGTGATTCTCCCTTGCCAGACTATGTAGCATCCCAAGGGCCCAGCAAAGTGTCTGGCATGCAGTAGCTACTTGACTCATGTTTGGTATCCAGATAAGAAAGGGCTGGGGAGTGTTATGGCTCACAGAAGTGAGCCAGCTTGTCCCAGGTCCCTCCCCCCAGTGAACTGAAGGCAAAGCTGGTCTTGAAGTTGGCCTACCTCCCTGTCTGCTCTTTCCTCTCTTGCCACTGCCTCTCCCATCCTCCAGAGACCATGGGCAAAGGCCAAGTGCTCCGTGTGCATCCCAGCGAGGACCCAGAGGAGAAAACAACCAAGCCAAAGACCGAGAGCTGAGAAGCACAGCCCAGAGCACAGAGATTTCTTCATGGTTCAGAGGCAGCTTCTAAGCTTGGGAAGAGGGGGGTTCCTGTCCTGCTGCATCAACACCAGCCCCTGGTCTCCAATCACACTCTACTAAATAAAAGGCTGCCTTCCCTGAATCGGGGCAATTCAACCCTCCAACAGTACTGTCTGCGTTTGGATGGTTTCCTCTAGAAGAAGAGTGCCCTCCCATGGAGAAAGCCCAGGGTACCACTCCTAGTTAGCAAGGATCTTCCCATCAATTAATGTAATCAAGACAATCTCACATGGGCACGCTCAGAGGTCTGTCTTGTAGATGATTCTAGATCAGAGATTCTCAACCTGTGGGTCACAACTCCTCTGGGGGAGGGGCACATATCAAATATGTATACGACAATTTGTAGCAGTAGCAAAATCACAGTGATGAAATACCAGTGAAAATAATTTTATGGTTGGAGGCCACCACGATGTGAGGAAAGGCATTAAGGGGTCACAGCAGTAGGAAGGTTGAGAACTGCTGTGCTAGACCCTGTCAAACTGACGACCAACATGAGCCATCCCAGTCACCATGCCTGGCTCCAGCTTTTCAATATTAAAGCCCTTAGCCAGCCCGTGGCTTTATTTTTTTTCCCCCAGTGGCAGTGTAAGTGACAACTGTGCCTCTCTGGCTTTATCGTCACTTTGCCACTAGTTGCTCCCACATTTACCTCATCCATTTTTGGAAAATGTAGTCAAATATAACAGGCAAGTTACCATCTTAGCCACCCAGAAGGTGTGGAGGTTTGAATAAGAATGGCCCCCATAGGCTCATATATTTAGATGCTTAGGGAGTGGCACTATTTGAATGGATTAGGAGGTGTGACCTTGGAGGAAGTGTGTCACTGGGGATGGACTTTAAGGTTTCAAAAGCCCATGCCAGGCCCAGTCTCTCTCTCCCTCCTTCCTCTCTCTCCCTCCCTCCTTCCAGATTTAGAACTCTCAGCTACCTCTCCAGCACCATGTATGTCTGAGTGCTGCCATGCCTCCTGCCATGACAATGGACTAAACATCTGAAACTGTAAGCCAGCCCCAACTAAATGCTTTCTTTTATAAGAGTTGCTGTGGTCACGGTGTCTCTTCACAGCAACAGAACACTGACTAAGACAGAAGGGTAGTGGTCCCTCCATTGTGGGACCATCACTTCATCCATCTTTGAAGCTGTTCCATCTTGCAGAAGTGAGACTCTGCATTTGCTTCAAAAATAAACCATAGTTGGCACAAAACTCCTGGCCCTATGTAGGCCCTTCCTTCATTTCTCAAGGTGTATTACTATGGGGTGAATACTTATGGATTCTCATTTAATGTGGTTCATGGTTTCAGTCCCTGGTCAGTGGCTACCCTGCTACAGTCCTGAGAAGCAGAGTCATGACAACAAAATGCCATGGTGTGTTGGAAATACAGGGTAGAGGCAGGTGCTCATTGCAGCCAAGAAGCAGGGAGAATAGATATAGCCTCTGAGGACATGCCCCCTCCATGGGTGCCACTGTCCAGCTAGTCCTCAAGTTCCCATCCAACTCCCAAAGTTCCCCCATCACCCCCCCAACAACTGGAATCCAACAATAGGTTATCCTTGAGGTAGGAGCCCCTTGTAAGTAATTTACTCAGAGTTGGATGGGTTTAGCCATTTGCAGGGTGGGGGCAGTGACAACCTGGGATGTCTACTCCTCCTCTTCCAAGGTTTGCAGAAAGCTGAGTTCTGTCCAACTAGAGCCTGGTCGGTCCTTTGGCACAGTACTGACTAATGGGGAAAATAAGCACTGAGCTAAGCACAAGCTGACCTTGGGAAGACTTTGTGCTGGCCCCTGAACACAATGCTGTCTATCAGTGGTCATCACCATTCCATGGAGGGAAAGCGCTAGACACACCCCATTCTATGTCCCTGATTCTCCCACATTCGCTCCCATATTTGAGACATTAAAATACCAAGTGCTGTCGGATGGTTGTGGTACGGGCCTTTAATCCCAGCATGTGGGAGGCAGAGGCAAGTGAATCTCTGAGTTCAAGGCCAGCCTGGTCTCCGAGTTCCAGGATAGCCAAAGCTACCCAGAGAAATCCTGTCTTGAAAACCAAAAACAACCAATTGTTAACTTTTATGCTTTTTTTTTTTCATTAAACTTTACCGTCTTTGACATGTTTAAGAGCACAGCTCAGAAGTGTCAAGTCAGCCAGACACAAGAAGCAGTAAAAGTAAAACATACTGAAGGAAAGAAAAGTAAAAAGCCCCAAGGCAAAAGGTAGATAGAGAAACAGGTTAATTTAAGTTAAAAGAGCTAGCCAGAAACAAGCCTAAGCTAGGCTGAGCATTCAAAACTAATAAAAGTCTCTGTGTCATGATGTGGGAGCTGGTTGGTGGCCCAAAAGAAAAAGCCTGGTGCACTCTAGCACTGAGTTACATCCCCACCCTAGGTCATACTGTTGCTGTAGCTATTCCTTTGATGCATGGTGTTTGGTGGGTCCCACTTTTGCCTGTTGCCTATGGTTCTCTGGGGATAAGTATCACAAGTATAACAATAGATTTCTACATCACATGCCAACTAAAGAGCCCAGAATTAACCTAAAGGTAGGTCACTAGAGAGAAGGCTCTAGAATTCGAATCTTTATCATCAGAGGCCTGTTCTCAGTTCCCGATGAACCCTTCATTCCTAAATATGAACTATGCCCACCTTCCCACCACGAATTTTGTTACAAGTGCTGATCACCTATTCAATTCCTATTCTTTTTTTAAATGTATCCATTATATTCCTGGATGTAATTCCATTCCAAGCAATAGTCCTCCACATCATGGTTTTGGTGTATTGTTTGTAAAAGTTTCTCCTGTACATGAAAATAAATTCTGGGGCTGGCAAGATGGCTCTGTGGGTAAAGGCACTTGCTGCTAAGTCTAATGACCTGAGTTAGATTCCTCGGGGCCTACATGGTAGAAGGAAAAACATACTCCTTCCAAGTTCTCTGGCTCCCACAACTGTGTCATAGCAAGTGTCCCCAAACACACACACACTCTCTCTCTCTCTCTCTCTCTCTCTCTCTCTCTCCTCTCTCTCTTGTAATAAAAGCTTTAAACAATAAGATACATTGGGTATGGAGGGGAGGAAGAGGATCTGGAAGGACTTCGGGGAAGGGAAGAATATGAATAATATAAATTAAAAAGTCCTACTTACTCTAAATAAATGTTTCTCTTCATCACCTAAGTTCTTCTATTCTGCTACTAACAGAACATTCTGGCCACACCTTGGAGAGTGTTGGCTGGAATAGATGGTGAAATAGTGTTACCACGAAGACAGCTCTGTGGACATACATAGGAATGTTCCAGTTCCTGCTTCTCACACCCAGTCTGCTTACTCAACAATCAGGCCCTCCCTGTTCCACTTCAAAGGGACAGAGAAACATTTTCATCAATGGCAGGCATGTCTGTCCCATAGTCTGGCTTCGAACTCAGTAAGTACGGGAGCATGGCCTTGAACTCTTGATCCTTCTACTTCCCATGTGCTGGGACTACAGGCATGCACCACCAAGCCTGGTTTCATCTCCAATTCTTAAATCTTTAATCTACGTAGAACTTTTAGAAGGTAGGTACTCTCGTTGCAATTAGATAAGGCACTTAAAGAAACAATTTGTGGGCTTGGGAGATGGCTGAATGACCTGGGTTTGGATACTCAGAAAAGCTAGACATGGCAGTGTACATCTCTAATCCCAGCACTTCTATGGGTGAGAGAGACAGGAGATTCTTTGGAAGCTTGTGGGCCAGCTATCCTTCTACACAAAGTGGTAGACAGCAAGGGACTCTGTCTCAAACAAGGTGGAAGGCTAGGCCTGACACTTGAGGTTGTCTTGGACCCCATGTACATGGGCATAATTACAGCAGTGACCTCACCATGAGTACTCAAAGAGATAATCCATAGAACATGCTGGGTAGGATGCTGTATTTAAAAGGCATTAGTGGTCCATGCTTCTAATCCGCACACAAATTGAAAAACAATTAAGGTCCAGAGAAGGCTGAAGTACTTGTTTTGAACATTTAACACCAGGGCTGAGTCTGCTCTGGACACATGGGAACACCCAGTTCTTGTTCTTGACTAAAGCTCTCAGGCAATACACGCTTGTTTTCATGGTTTGCCTGGAGTTCGAGAGCCCCACTCAGCTCTGCTGCAGGCCCTGGCTGCCCACTCTGGAATACTCAGCCCTCTGACACCCCATGCTCAATGGGGTGTCATGCACCAGCAGCTTCCAGGCTGGAAGAAGCTCCCAGGTGCTTTCCATGTCTTTTGGCTGCACCATTGCCCAGTGGTGAGTCTTTAGCTCAATTGCCTAGTAGTAGCCAATTGCGTAGTAGCCAAGCCCCCAGGAAGGGAAGCTATTCCCACAGTTACACAGTAGAAAGCTCAGTGACACCCCTGTTAGGCCTTTATCATAGGCCCATTTTTCAGTCATGCTGTTTTCAAGGTAGTCAAGATAAAAGTGTGCCTCCCTCACCCCCTACCCACCCCCACTCCATCTCTTTCTGAGGCAGGATCTCAAGTATCCCAGGCTGGCCTTGAACTATGTAGCATCGGACTTTAAATTTGGGATCCTCCTGATTCTACTTCCCAAAGTGTTGGGATTACAGGCATGCACTACCACATCTGGATTATGTGATGTTGGAGAAGGAACACACGGCTTCCTGCATGCTAGATGGATTAGTTTGCTTTTCTGTTACTCTTATAAAACACTGACCAAAAGCAACTTGGGGATGAAAGGGTTTATTGGGCTTACATGCCCTGATCACAGTCAGTCATCCGGGAGAAGTCAGGGCAAGAACTCAAGTAAAAGCAGAGGCATGGAGAATACCATGGAGGAAAGTATTTTCCTGTCTTATTCAGCTTGCTTACACCACCCAGAATCACCTGCCCTGGGGTGGAACTGTCCACAGTGGGCTGGGCCCTCTCCTATCATTAATCAAGAAAGTGACCCCACAGACA